AGCTGGTCAAAGCTGGGCGGAGGCAAGCTCCGGCGTGACTGCCCGGAACTGGAGCTCGCCCGCGAGCTCTGGGACTGGGGCAGAGCCACGGGGTTCAGGCCCCAGGAGAAGTTGTTGGACTGCGCCTGCACGCGGAAGCCGGACTGCGAGGAGGCGCGGCTGCTTGCGGGGCTGCCTGAAGTGCTGCTTCATTCATGTTGTTGGCGGACCGGACGTCCTGCACGGCCGCGTCCTCGCTGCCCTGCTGGGGCCGGAAGAGCGTGTTCTCCAGCGAGGCCGTAGGCTGCCCGCAATGCCCACGGCCAGCCCCGCCGTTGCCGCCGCGCCAACGTTCCAGCAACCTCGCCCGCGGCGGGCGCCAGGGCAGCGGCCCCCTCCACGCCCTCGGCGGCAACGGCAACCTTGCCCTCCTCCACTGCACGGCCTCCGTCAGCCGGCTCACGTCGTCCAGGTGCCACTGCCCCTCCTGCGCCTGCCTGCGCTCGCCTAGCCAGTTGTTGAAGGCCCGCGCCTCCTCAGTTCTCGGTAGCGCTTCAGCAGCAGCGGCTGCAAGTTGTAACTGGGGTACGTCCTGCGGAACCACCGGAGCATCCGTGGCTCGTTGCGGGGCCCCGTCGTCTGAGCCCGTCTCCACAATGGTACCCACTCCGCTCTTCAGCGTGATCTTGGAGAGGATGTCGTCGCCCAGGTTGCACTCTGCTGGCGTTGGCCAGCAGGTAGACCTCGTTGTGCGCCATCATGCGGACGAACTCAAAGACCTGCTGCCCGCCGGAGACAAAGCTCGGGCCCAGCATGCGGTCCACGCTGAAGGGCTTGGTGGGAGAGGCGGGCGGCGCAGCAGGGTAGTCCGCGGCATCAGGGAATTGCTGGCGCAGCTCCAGGTCGTTCAGAATGAGCCTGTTGCCGTCGTAGGCTAGCTCAGGCTGTTCGTGGTCTCGCTATAGGTGGCGGTGATCCAGGCGGCCAACGTGCGCCAGTGTACGCGCCTCGGGCAACAACGGTTCCTAAAGAAAAGGGTGACCACTATCTACGTGGACAGCCGCAAGAGAGTGGCCGGCTCGGACAGCGACTTTGAGGTAGACCTGGGAGAGTCCCTGCACTTGCAGAGCGATGCCCGGCTCGCCGTCTACAAGATCCGCCTGGCCAACAGTTTCCTCTCGACGGACCGGGGCCGCTACCTCTACTGGGTTGACGCCGCGCTGGGCACGCTGAACTGGGCGCCCGTCCGGCGGACGACGGGCGGCTGGACGGCTGCGACGGAGGTGCAGCAGGAGATGTTTTCACACTTCGCGTTGATCAGCGTGGAGCTGGCGAACAGCTTCTGGCCCAGGAAGCTGAGCGCCGCTCCCATCGGCGTCTTTTTCAAGTGCAAAACGCTCTTCAAAGCGCTTGTAGAACATTTCATTCCTCGGCTTCAGGTAGTAGACGAAGAGGAAACTGTAGGGTTCCCGCGTTGCCTGCTCATACAGCCGGTACAGCTGCTCCTTTGGCAGCAGGGCGCTCAGCTCCTCAATAACGGCGTCCAGCTCGTGCTGGTTGCGCAGCCTCCAGCAGCAGAGGAATTGCATGTTCACCCGCACCGCTGCGCTGATGAGCCGCAGCTTCTGCGAGCTCACCCAGGTGCTTATCTGCATGTGCCGGCCCCTGATGAAGAGAGTGTCCAGGGCGCCGTGAGGCTTGTGCAACTGCGGCGTGTCAGCAAAGTCGTCGATGACTACAAGCACCTGGTACAGTTTCTTCATTTCCAACTTCTTGGACGCCTCCGTGATCTTGCGCTGCTGCTGGATGATGCGCCGCAGCGCCGCCTCGTCCCACTCGTCCCAATACGTCTGCTCCCGCTCTGTGTTCACCCCCAGGTCCTCCTCAATGTACTTCTTGACGGGGATCCAGCCGTCGTCTATGTTCACACTCGGGCTGAAGACGTAAATTCTCTCAAAGACGCCGCGATACTGCTCCAGAATCAGGCTGATCAGAGCCACGGTTTTGCCCGATTTTGATGGCCCGAGGAAGATGCCCGTGCATGGCACCAGGGGCACCACGGGGTCAGAGGCTTGTTTGCTGCTATACTCTGTCGTAGGAAACAGCTTGATCTTCCCCATTCCTTTGCGTTACTTGCCAAATTTGAAGCCGGGAAGTTGTGCGAGTATGTCAGCGCACTGCTATACAGCAGGGCGCTGAGTTTTCCGGGCAATCCGGGCGGCGAGTCCGTCAGCACACTGCTACACAGCAGGGCGCTGGCGGAGTTTTCCGGGCAATCCGGGCGGCGAGTCCGGGAGTGCGTCTGTGTGTACAGACGCGCTTCCAGAGTTTTCTGGGAGACACCGGGGCAATCCTGTGCCCACGCCAGGATTGAGTGGAGCAATCCTGTGCCAGGATTGAGTGGGGCAATCCTGTGCCCACGCCAGGATTGAGTGGGGCAATCCTGTGCCCACGCCAGGATTGACGGCTGGGCGTGTGAATGGTGAAAAACACTATGTCAGTGGCACCCGCAAGGACGGCATCGCTGACACACCTTCGGCGCTGGCCCGGTGATGGGTTTTTTCGGGCAATCCTGCGCCCACGCCAGGATTGACGGCTGGGAGAGGGCGGCTTTATCCCGACAAGCGCGTTGGATATCGTGCCCCGACAACTAGGAAGGAACTCCCGACAAGCGCAGGGGTTGAACCCTCGACAAGCCTGCGGGTGATTTCCCGACAACGCACTGCGCCTGAATCACGACAAGCGAGCGCCTGCTTGCATGGGTGTGTGTGGGCGCGCGTGTGTGTCTGTGTGCGTGTGTGGTGTGTACGTGCCTGTGCGCGCAAGCGAGTGTGCGTGTGCTGTTGCTTGCGCTTGTGCGCGGGCGGGCGAGCATGCTTGCGTGTGTGAGTGGGTGGGTGGGTGGGTGGGTGTGCGTGCGCGTGCGCCGCTGCGTGCGCCATGTGGTGTGGTGGCGTGTGCCTGTGGTGTGCGTGTGCGTGGTGAGTTGGGTGGTGTGGGTGGGTGGGTGGTGTGGGTGGGTGGGTGGTGTGGGGTGGGTGGTGGGTGGAGGGTGGGTGGGGTGGGTGGGTGGGGTGTGGTGGGGTGGGTGGGTGGGTGGGTGGGTGGTGTGGGTGGGTGGGTGGGTGGTGTGGGTGGTTGGGTGGGTGGGTGGGTGGGTGGGTGGGTGGGTGGGTGGGTGGGTGGGTTGGGTGGGTGGGTGGGTGTGTGGGTGGGTGGTGGGTGGTGGTGTGTTGGGTGTGGTGTGGGGTGTGTGTGTGGTGTGTCTCTGCGCGCGCGCTTGCAAAGAGTGGAAAGGGTCTTCTTCCATCAACAAGCATCCACCCGAGGTCCCATCAATATTTGTTGCTTTCCCCGATTGCATTGCTTCCCTGATTGGACGCTGTGGCTCGTCTTTTGGCGCAGCTTTTTGGCCTCGACTTTTAGCTCTTTGGCCGTGGGCTGGGGCTGAAGTTGGCTTCAACTTTCAGGCCCAGCCGTCCTTCCATCCTGGCCAAGCTCAGCAACGCGTGCTTTGGCTGAACTCACAGGGGAAGCCGGTCTTTTTCTCTTTCATGTCTTTCACATCTCTCGCGCAAAGGATTGAATTGCAATCAATGTCCTCACCTCTCTCTCCGTCTCTCTCTCTCTCTCCTTCTTTTCTGCAACCTGGACCTTTCACATGAGCAGCAGTCAAAACATTTCGTATAATTCTATTGACATTACTTAAGGGGTATCGTTTTTTTGCGTCCTCCTATCGTTCTTGAAGGTTTTTGCGGCGTTGCAAAAATCGCTCTTCGTATCTCAAGAAAGTATACCTGCGGGAGACAAACCTTATCAACACCGTTGCACAGTATCTGGCAAAACAGACATGCAAAGTACGCTTTCCTTGCTCCAGCTCGCAAATTGTGACTTTTTAGTACAAGTGCAATACCCAGAGAAAACTTCCCAGCTCCAGCCCGAACATGTCAAGTTTTCAGAACAAGTGCAGTATGCGAAGTACACTTCCCCTGCTCCAGCTCGAAAATATTGACTTCTCAGCACAAACGCGGTGCTTGAAGTACGCTTTCCCAGGTCCAGCTGCGACATCGCAACTTTTCAGTACAAGCGCAGTATGCAAAGTGCACTTTTCAATTGCTTCTTGGTTTCTCGGCTTCTTGACTTGTAAGCTGCTGCCTGTCTCTGTGCATGTTCGACTGTGTGCTGCAACAATCAATCTCAACCAAATTCAAGGGTAACGTTTCTTTCTGTTCCCCTGTCGTTTTTTTCAAAGGTATCATGCTGTCCTGAGACACGTGCAGCAAAGCCATGTCATGCCCTAGACTAATTTGCTTTAACATAGGTTTTGACAGGCACTCACATGACCTTCCAGCTGCCCAAGCAGTTCAATGGTATCCACGCAAGTCATTTGGTCTCATCGCCCTTCAACCATTTTGTTTTGGATGGTTGGCGATTTCAGTGGCAAGCTTGTTTTTGTTTTGGACCCGAAACAACGGAAAAAGAAAGGGGCCTCCTTAGCAACAGCAAAGAGTGCCTTTGGGCTCTGCCAGAACCTGCTCTCTGGAAGTCGGTTGGGGTGCGTCTTTCCGGTGGCAAGCTGTGCTTTTTTGGACCTGAAACAACGCAAAAAGAAAGGGGCTCCACTTAGCAACAACAAAGAATGTTTTCGGGCTCTGCCAGAATCCCCTCTTCCTTGAAAGTCGGCTGGGATGCGTGTTTCTGGTGGCCAGCTGTGCTTTTTTGGGGCTCGAAACAACGGAAAAAAAAGGGGCTCCCTCAGCAAAGAATACTCAAGTTCCATACATGCGAGGGTGCTCCCTCCAGTTCTTTCAAGACTTCCAGCGCCCGCGGCATGCGTGTCGAGGCACCCACAAAACAGACATCGCAAAAAGAACCCGTGTGTGGCTCAAAACAACGATGACTTCTGCCTGCCAAGAGCTCCCTTCTCCAACCCCGCACTGCATGGGCGCACAAAGCTGCAAACAAGCAATTTTTACATCGCTTGCGCTCAACCTGCATGCTGGCAAAATGCCGGCACTGACCTAAGTGGTGCTGACCCGACGTCTCTTGGGCTTCTTCTGAGGTTCCAAGGAATCCTCTTCCGTCTCCGAGCGGACCTCTGCGGCTCGCGGCAGAGGCAGCAAGCTGTACTTTTTGCAGCCCAAGATCTTGCTGGCCGCGTACATGTGGCAACAGTGGCCCGTCCATTGGAAAAGCGGGCACGAGCAAAACAGCCGCCCGCTTTGCTGGGGCAAGTGTAGCAGCAAGCAAGACTTCTCAAAGAGCTTGCGATACTCGCCAAGTTTGAACTGGCTCTCCGGCGTGATTATGCCTTGAGCAATCAGCTTTTGCTGGCAGGTCTTCACGTCATGGGCCTGGACAATGAGCAACATCTTTTTCAGTGTCCCTTCTGGTACTTGGACTGGCTTCTGCATGCCCATGCACAAGTATCGCCGAGTCACACGGCCAGCATCATCTTTCTCCTCAGCCTTTTTGACAGTTTGCAAGCGCCGAACGCGCGCCTTTTTGACGATGATCCCGATGGGGGCATAGGTGAATCTCCTCCTGCGCACAACCTTCGACCGCTTTCCAAGCATCCAGTCGTCTGGCGACGTGGGCGCAGGCGTGGCCAGACAACCTGGAGGCGCCAGCAAAGTGCCGGGCTTGCACGTGCGCTCCCCTTCCAGGGGAGAAGCAGCCCACATGGAAACGCAGCGAAGCAGACTGTCTCCAACTGCTGCGTGGGTGTTGAGTTTGCTGCCGGTGGCTTTGAGGTCGGCCTTGAATTTCCTGTTCCACTGCTCAATTGGTTGTTGTGTGGGCCCTTGCCCTGGGCGGGTTCTTCCCTGCGAATTTGCACGCCGATGTGCCAGCCAGCACTGTACCTTCCATTGCTTTCTGTGACATACGTAGCGAAAAAATAATCACTGAACGGGGCGTCTCCCCAATGATCAGTCATGCGTGTGCGCAGGCAGGACATAGCGCAGTGAAAAGCCGTTGATGTAGGCAAAAACATGAACTCGTATATGAAGGCCAAAAAAACTGCCAGGCTTCGACCTTTTAGCCTGGGGGCAGGTTTTGGCCCGCCCTCTTCCAACGCCCGCCTCAGGTGCTCTATCCCCCTGCAAACGTGAATCGCAGGAAAGATCTCCAGAAAGGCTCGCGCGCTCCCTCGGTTTCCACCTCCGCCGAACCAATCCAAATGCACTTGCTTTGAATTCCTGTAGCAAGTGCTTTGCCGCCAAACTGTACGCTGGATTGCGTTCTTTGTGCGGACAGACCAGTAGCAAGGGCCAGGTACTCTTGCGCCACTGGAGCCTGCCACTGGCAGCGGCATACTGATATCCGAGGTGATCTGTCCCATGAGTGAAATCTGACGTCACCTTGAATGCCAGGCGCTGTGTTGGGCATTTCCCTACTATCAGCATGTGGCAGCTGGGCCCTGACATGACAAGCAAATAGGATCTCACTACGGGATCTCACTACGATCGCACTACGGGATCTCACTACGGGAACTCGCCGCGGGAACTCACCACGGGAACGCACCACGGGAACTCACTACGGATCTTACTACAGGATCTCACTACGAGATCTCACCACGGGATCTCACCATAGCATCTCACTACAGGATCTCACTACGGGATCTCACTACGGGATCTCACTACGGGATTCAGCCTGCACACTCAACCTGCACGACTTCAAATCCTGGCCTCTTGCGTGAGGGGGCCCATTTGGGCAGCAGGAATTATCTCTTCATCGCGCGCCTCGCGAGGCTTTCGGGGCATGGGGTTGCTTCCGTCAAGCTGAAGCCAACTGCCTCGATGAGGGGAGAAATGAACCCAGGCCGAAAGCATTGCAAACGGGCCTTGAAACAAACACCAATCATCGGGAGGGGGGAGGGGCAACAGCCCCACTCACACAGCAAAGGCAGGCCTCCAAGGCAGGCCTTTCTCTTTGTCATGCGCCTTGCAAGAGACAAAAACAATTGCCACAAGCACCCTCGTCGACTCTCGAAACCCAAACCCTTTTTGCCTGCAACAAACCAACTGCCTTGATGAGGGGAGAATTGAACCCAGGCCGAATTCATTGCAAACGGACCTTGAAACAAACACCAATCTCGGGAGGGGAGGGGCAACAGCCCCACTCACACAGCAAAGGCAGGCCTCCAAGGCAGGCCCTCTCTCTTTGTCATGCGCCTTGCAAGAGACAAAAACAATTGCCACAAGCACCCTCGTCGACTCTCGAAACCCAAACCCTTTTTGCCTGCAACAAACCAACTGCCTTGATGAGGGGAGAATTGAACCCAGGCCGAATTCATTGCAAACGGACCTTGAAACAAACACCAATCTCGGGAGGGGAGGGGCAACAGCCCCACTCACACAGCAAAGGCAGGCCGGTTGCTCCAAGGCAAGGCCCTTTCTCTTTGTCATGCGCCTTGCAAGAGACAAAAACACTTGCCACAAGCACCCTCGTCGACTCTCGAAACCCAAACCCTTTTTGCCTGCAACAAACCAACTGCCTTGATGAGGGGAGAATTGAACCCAGGCCGAATTCATTGCAAACGGACCTTGAAACAAACACCAATCCTCGGAGGGGAGGGGCAACAGCCCCACTCACACAGCAAAGGCAGGCCTCCAAGGCAGGCCTTTCTCTTTGTCATGCGCCTTGCAAGAGACAAAAACACTTGCCACAAGCACCCTCGTCGACTCTCGAAACCCAAACCCTTTTTGCCTGCAACAAACCAACTGCCTTGATGAGGGGAGAATTGAACCCAGGCCGAATTCATTGCAAACGGACCTTGAAACAAACACCATCTCCAAATGGGGCAGGCAACTGCCCCACTTCCACACAAAAACCATGTGCCACCCGAAAAAGGCAGCCTCCAGGCAGGCCACTCTACTTTCTCATGGCTTTGCAAGAGGAAAAACGATTGCACCCTTGTCGACGATCGACAACCCAAACCCTTTTTTGTACCTGCAACAAACCAACTGCTCGATGAGGGTGAGAATTTGAACCAGGCCGAAAGCATTGCAAACGGACTTGAAACAAACACTACATCGGGAGGGGCAACAGACCCACTCACACAGCAAAGGCAGGCCTCCAAGGCAGGCCCTCTCTCTTTGTCATGCGCCTTGCGAGAGACAAAAACAATTGCCACAAGCACCCTCGTCGACTCTCTGAAACCCAAACCCTTTTTGCGTACAACAAACCAACTGCCTCGATGAGGGGAGAAATGAACCCAGGCCGAAAGCATTGCAAACGGACCTTGAAACAAACACCAATCTCGGGAGGGGAGGGGCAACAGCCCCACTCACACAGCAAAGGCAGGCCTCCAAGGCAGGCCCTCTCTCTTTGTCATGCGCCTTGCAAGACTAAAAGCACGTACCACTGGGAGACCATTCTTCAGACGCTTCTGCGTCCAGCCAGGCTGTAAACATTGAAATGTGTGCTGCCATATCCTCAGCATCAGCGCCTGCAGTCTCAGAAACACGCAAGCGTTGAAGAGTGGCCTTTGCCACATCGAGCGTTTCCGTGCTTGTCAGGCGTGGCGCACACCCCCGGCAAACCTCTCTGTACACGGCGAACGCCAGAAGCAGGTCGTCCAAGCAAATATCTCCCAGGATCGCCGTCAAATCCAACGAGCTCCAGCAGCCCTAGCGGCTGCTATAACAAACATTGATGTTGCATGGCGTGGGCATACAATCAAAAATCTACAGCATAGGGCGCAGCCCGCAACCGAGCAATGAGCCCCAGAGCAGAACTTGTTTCCATGCGCCGATGAAAGCAAAAAGTCGATCAGCCAAAATCCGCCAGCCTCTTGCTGGGCAAGCCTTCTCTCGCCAGAGTTGACCTGACATCCGTTCTTTCATTTACTGCCCAACCACTTAAATTGAAATGGCTATGTTTTTTTTTAGGGGTCTGTAACGCGCGACGCGCCACGAATCTTGTTACGGAGGTCTGTAACGGAGGTCCTTGTTACGCAGGTCTGCAACGGGACAAGCATTTCCTGACAAGCAGTATCAGTAGCACAATGTAGCGCAGCACAACGAGGTATGTAATGGCTATGTAACGAGGTCTGTAACGAGGCAAAGCAAAGCGCAGGACGCAAAGCGAGCCTCCGCAGCTCGAGCGGCAAAAAGCGGAGTCGCTGGGCCGGGTTGGGGGTTGGGTCTGTAACGAGGCAAAGCGAAGCGCAGTACGCAAAGAACGCCTCTGCAGCACCAGCTTGCTTGCAGCTACTCAACGCAAGCCATGCTGCGGCAAAAAGCGGGGTCGCTGGCCCGGGCTGGGGTTGGGTCTGCAACGAGGTATGTAACGGCTATGTAACGAGGTCTGTAACGAGGCAAAGCAAAGCGCAGCGCAGCTCTATTCAACGCAAGCCAAGCTGCGGCAAAAAGCGGGGTCGCTGGCCCGGGCTGGGGTTGGGTCTGCAACGAGGTATGTAACGGCTATGTAACGAGGTCTGTAACGAGGCAAAGCAAAGCACTTGATTGCAGCTATTCAACGCAAGCCAAGCTGCGGCAAAAAGAGGGCAGTCACGTCACTGGCCCGGTTTGCTCATCTGAGGTGTGTAACCAGGGCGTGTATAACGAGGGTGTGCAACGAGGGTGTGCAACGAGGGGTGTGCAACGAGGGGTGTGTAACGAGCCAGCTGGTTTTGTTACAGAGGTCTGTAACGAATGTCCGCCGCGGCTCTGTCACATTACAGACCCCTCAAAAAAAATCACTGCCAAATGCGAAGGAAGTCTGCCTAAAACCTGGCCTCCTCATCACCAGGCAATCTCCCGCCAGACATTGCCTCAGCTTTGGCGGCCCGAATAAAAGAACACGGTCAGTTCCAAACAAGGCCCACGCCTGCTCACGAGAAGGCTTGTCCTCCAAGATCTCACACTCCGTGACCTCCCATCGAGCTGAATCCTACGTCCAGCAGTGAGCTGCCACGAACCTCGCGCTCCCAAAGCCGTTTCTTGCCGCGTGCCTAGCGTTCACCCGCAGGCAGCGCCCCAAATCAAGAACGATAAACGAGCTTTCAAGCCAAGCAGGCCTCTGCATCACCAGGCCTTTGCCCGCCAAACACGGATTCACCATGGGACCTCCCGCCAGACATCGTCTCAGCCTTGGTCGCCCGAGTGAAAGGACGTGGTGAATTCCAAACAAGCCCCATGCCTGCTCAGGCTTGTCTTCCGTTGAATGCTACGTCCAGCAGTGAGCTGCCACGAGCCTCGCCCTTGCAGCCCAGAAGCCTTTTGCAGCTGTGTGCCTGGCCAGCACACGCAAACACCGCCCCAGATTGAAGCCAACGAGCAACCAGCCCACTTCTCATCAACAAGCGCCTGCCCACCAAACCTGGATTCGGCTTTGGCCTCCTGCCAAGGCAAGCTGATGGCAGTTGAGCTGCGCAAGAAGCCGAGCCTGCTCCGCCATCTTTTCCGCTGTGGCCTGCCAACAAACTGAAGAATGCCAGGTAGGTCCAACAGCAAAGCGCCGGGCCTCCGACTCCAGCTCCAACGCTCTAACCCCCCAGCTCACCTATGTCAAGCATCTCAAAATGGACAAAGCACAAAGGCAATTCCCGAAGCCACAGCCTCCGAGCTTCCAGGGCTGTTGAAGCCCCGAGAAGGCCTTTGAGGCGGTGTCCGGAAAGCCGCCTGGAGTTTGCGCAACCGTTCTCTGTGTGAGGTCATGCATGCCTCGGCCTCGTGCA